CTGGGATTACAGGCGTGCTCCACCACACCTGGCCCTTTTGTATTTTTTATTTTGAGACAGGGTCTTGCTAAATTGCTATATTGCCCAGGCTGGGATGGAACTTTCGATCTTCCTGCCTCCGCCTCCTAGAGTGCTGGGATTGCGGGCGTGTGCGCCACGCCCGGAGACATCATGAAGGCGCGAGATCACCAGCGCTACCTCGCAGGAGGCGGGGCGATAGGACCTCCATGGCTCCGTCATCCTGCAGGGTCCCTGCTGTCCCCATGCCCCTGGGGCCGCGGGCTGCTGCACGGGCAGGACGGCATGGGAGCCCTCACCTCACAGAGCCGCGCTGAGCCAGGGAAGGGCAGGCAGGGTTCCCGGTGGGGCGGGCAGAATCAGGCCGCACCGAGGCAGGATGACTTCCGGGGCCTCGCCGGAAGTGCTGCTTCGTGGGGGATGGGCTGAATTCCCTCTTCCAGTTCTTTTTCTTATTAGTCCGCGTTTGCAGTGCGTGTGTACGCTCATTTTAGGGAGGTGCACATGTACTTAACACCTTTTAATTTTTATGCCCCTTCCTCTCCCCTCTTGCCCTTGCTCCGTCTCTAGATTCCTTCCCCGTTTAGGAAAGATCGATCCTACTGCTTTCTGTTCTCCATTTACACTTTGGGTTTCTCATATAAGAGAAGTTACGTGATATTGGAGCTCATGTGTCTGATTATTTCACTTAATATTATAGTTTCAAGGTACATCCATTTTCCTACAAATGTTTCGTTTACCCTTCTTCATGGCAGAGTAGTGCTCCAGTGTGTATAAAGACCACATGGTACTTTTTCCATCCGTTGATGGACATATACGCCGCTTCCAAGATTTAGCTGTGATGAGTCGTGCAGCTGTAAACGTGGGTGTACATGGATCACTGTAATATCATGTCTTTAGCTCTTTGGCAAATAACTGAATTTCTTTTTTTTTAAAGGACTTTTTTGTTTTTTTTTTTTTTTTTTTTTTTTTTTTTTTTTTTTTTTTTTTTTTTTTTTTTTTTTTTTTTTTTTTTTTTTTTTTTTTTTTTTTTTCCCAGTACCGGGAATCGAACTCACAACCTTGTGCTTGCCAGGCAGGCACTGTGCCGCTGAGCTAAATCCCCAGCCCAAATAACTGAATTTCTGTCGGTGGAGTTGAGGGCATCCTGGGGCGGGGAGAAGAGGCCCGGCTAGGTGGCCAGGCAAGGCCTTCATTGACTGGCTGTGGCAGTCAGGCTGGTCTGATTTCTCAGCTCGGGCAGGGGGCTTCTAAAAATAAATGCCTAGGTTTGACTTAAAGCTGTGGCCAATGGTGAGGACAGGGAGGGACAACTTTTGGGGCTGATCCATCTGGATACACTGGACAGAAATGTCACCATTTGGCTAGGGGTGGTGGTGCACACCTGTAATCCCACTACTGTGGGAGGCTGAGGCAGGAGAATTGTAAGTTCCAGCCCAGCCTGGGCAATTTAGTGATTTAGTGAGACCCTGTCTCAAAATAAAAAAACTATGGCTCAGTGGTGGAGCACCTTTGCGTTCAAATCCTCAGTACTGTGCGTACACACACGCACACATGCGCGCACGCAGGCATGCACACACACAGAGGCCATCATTTTTGTTTTTCTCAGGGTAGTGGAGGAAGAGAGTCATGTGGAAAACTTGGGGTTCTGGTGGATGTGGTGGTGCAAGCCTATAACCCCAACACTTGGGAGGCTGAGGCAGGAAGATCATTGCAAGTTCAAGGCCACACTGGGCCTTTTTTCTTTTTTTGGTACCAGAAATCGAACTCAGGACCTTGCGCTTTATGCCACTGAGCTATATCCCCGGTCCCACACTGGGCCTTGAGACCCTGCCTCAGAAGAACAACCAACCAACAAAAAACCAAGAAAACACCTCAGGGTTCTAGAGTCTCTGCTTTTTTTTTTTTTTTTGCTTTGCAGTTCAAGCTGGACTTGAGCTCACTTTGTAGCCAGGCTGGTCTCAAACATGCAACGATCCTCCTGCCTCAGCCTCCTGAGTGCTGGAATTACAGGCGTGCGCTACTACGCCCGGCCAGCTTCTCTGCTTTGTGTGCAGATGGCAGCAATGCAGGCGTGCGGGGAAGTGGGATGCCCTCCTGTAGGAAGCGAGGGAACCAGAGGTCTGGTGTGAGCCCCCGAGGTGGGGTGAGGCTGCCTGGCGTGCAGCTGGGAGGCAGGCTGAGGGGCAGTGTGCCCACGGGGAAGTGATGTCATCCTGAGGCCACAAACACAGCGGTTCTTCGATGGGGACAGCAGTCCTGGAGCAGCCGTGGGCGTAGCCCCATGGTCCTGGAGGCACTGCAGAGGCTACGGCCACACTTTGCGCACCTTGGGCCCTGGGAGAAACCGCGGGCCGCATGCGTGCGTGAGCGCAGCCGTGAGCTGGCTGTGACCACGCACTCAGCATGGCATTGAGGCCGGGGTGCCGAGGATGAGGGCACCAGCGCCCTGCTTCCAGTGGGAGAGGCCTGGCTGCTGGGCCTGGTGCCTCAGGGTGGTCGGGGCACGCAGGACGCACGCAGCGGTGCCAGGCGCTGTGCCCGTCACTGTCTCTCTTTGCCTTCCCTTGGTACACGTGCTGTGTCTGATTCTGCGGGCAGGGCACACATCCCTGCCTGCACAGGTCCCAGAGCCACGGGCACACAGGGTGAGGAAGTCCCTGGTAGCCGCAGACGGGCAGACACTGGCTGCTTTTTCCTGCTGAGACTAGGAGCAGTGACCTGGGGGTGCGGGTCTCGGATGCTCCCGGCCCTGTTTGCTGACTGCAGAGTCCGAGGCCGGGACCCCAGGGATAGGCCCAGGGCTGCGCACCAATGAGCCAGAAGTCGGGGCTCTGCTGCAGGAGTTTTGGGAGGAGAGACATGCTTGGTATCAGAGAGGGGCCCGGCAGTCTCTGCTTCAGCCCTGCGAGGCCTTGCCTGTACCCGGGGCACACAGCGGCTGGACACAGGGGTTCCTGCACCCCCCCCCCACCAAGGGAACCCAGACAGGCAGCCAGCGGAACAGGTCAGGAAACAAGACTCTGGTCCCCACCAGGGAATGTGAGGGGCTAAAATAATGCTGGAGTCTGCTCTAGATGTCCACGCACACTGAGTGAAATGTACTCTCAAGCATTTCCTGGCAGGTAGAGACTTCCCCTGGGGGCGCGTGAGGAAAAGCCAAACTCCCCCTTGGGAGCGGATTCCCTTGAAAGGCATGTGACAGGGCCCTGGGGTCTCATGTTCACCATGGTTTGTTTCCATCTGCCTCCTTCCCCAGGGCCTGCTGACACATGCTTCCCACACAGGGAGGGTCGGTTAGAGGGTGACAGAGGTAGCCCAGGTCCCCAGGGGTTCTGCCAGGCCGGGGCAGGTTTGTGACCACACTACTGCACGCAGGTTGGGGAACCCGCTCCCCAGGAGGCCAGCAGCAAGCCCCTCCCCATCCCGAGCAGTGACAACCAGAAACGTCCCCACGCTGCCAGATGTACCCTGCCGACGGGTCCTGCGGCTGGGAAACACCGCTTTCTTGGACTGTGGTGTACACGTTTCTCTGATGTTGTAGGACCCGATTCAGGTGCAAAACAAGAGAACAAGAAACGGAGCGCGATCTTCTGCAGGAAGAAGGGGAGCAGGAGCCGGAGGGAGGGAAGTAAAAAGAGCTGAGGTTTGTTCCGTGCGGTACCAGCTCCCGTGAGGAGTGGCATCGTCTGTACTGTGAACACGGGCTCATAAAAAATGAAGAAGCTGAAGGAGCTGACGTTACAGACTTGCCTTAGGGATTAGAGTGCAGGGCTCGGGCGGGGCCTCCGTGTCCGGGAGGGATGTGATGTTTCCCGTGGCTCATGGCAGCTGGAGGGCAACGGTACTTGCTGCAGCCTGGCCCGAGGGGGGTGGGGTGGGGTGGGGTGTGTGTGTGGGGGGTGTGTGGCCTGAGGGTGTGTGTGTGTAGGTGTGTGTTTCCTTATTCCTAGAAAGGTGACGTTGCCTCCACCCAAGCCTTTATTCTGGGCCCTTGGACAAAACATCACACCGACCCTCATTAGCTGTGGTCTAGAGAAGTGGGCAGACAGCCCCAAAGCCTGGCGGGCCTGGCCAGCTGCACAGAGAAGAGACCCTAAAGGGGATGCTTGAGAGAGCAAGCTGGGTGTGGTGGCGCACGCCTGTCATTCCAGCACTCCAGAGGCTGAGGCAGGAGGATTGTTGAGAGTTTGACGCCAGCCTGGGCTACAAAGTGAGTCCAAGGCCAGCCTGAACTGCCTAGCGAGACCCTGTCTCAAAAAAGCGACCAGAGCCCACTCACCCATTTCAGAGTGGCCCCAAACTGTCTTCTGATCCATGCCACGACACACACACCTATGTGTGCGCAGTCTCTGCCCACAGCCCTGCGTGGCCGCACAAACAGGGACTGGATTGCAAAGGGGCTGTTTAGAACTGTTTTAGCAGCTTTGTGACTTTTCTCCCAGATATTACCATTAGGGTAAATCAAACTGCTGTGGTTTCGGTGGGGAAAAGGTGTGTGTGCTTCCTCTTGGATTACCCTACTAGGAAACAGGCAACGTAGCCCAAGAAAAGCTGTGTGGTGATTTTTAATTATGTTCACATTTAATAATAGAGGGAATTTATGCACTAAATCTTTTATTTTTTCCTCCTGATACTGGGTCAAAGGTGGTGAAAATTCATGTAGTTTTTTTTTCTTTTGAGACAGGGCCTCACTAGGCAGTCCAGTTTGGCCTTAAACTCACTATGAAGCCCGGGCTGGCCTCAAGCTTGTGGCAATTCTCCTGCCTCAGCCTCCAGAGTGCCGGGATAACAGCCTTGCACCATCACGCCTGGCTTGTGTACTCCTTTATTCAGGGAAAAATGGCTCAGGGGCAAACTGCATGAGGAATTTTAATGAATACCTGCTGAAACATATGGTATTGAAAAAAACTTAACAAAATGGTCGATAGTAGGATTTATTTTAATTTTTCAATCTCAAAAAAATTCAAAAAACAAAAATCTCAAACTCTCCCCGTATTTATACAGTGTCAACATTTGCCAAGCACTCACCAGAGGAAACCCTGGATTCCTTCAACGGCATGACAGTACTGTGCGCACACAACGATGTACAATCTCTTCAGCGGTCCTGGGAACGTCATGATTTTACCAAAACAAAACACAAAACAAAACAAAACAACCCAAACATCTCCGGCACTTGGTTCCCCTTTTCCACACTTGCTTCTAAGAACCCCATGGTTGCTCTTTTAGAAATCATCTCCTGCCACGTCCCTTAAATTATGAGAAGTTGGCCATTTTCAAACAGCAACCAGGAGTTTATTAATGGACGCGGTGAAGTTTCCCCATCAAAAGATACGCTTAAAAAAAAAAAAAAACACGACATAAAAAAACCCCTGCACGGAAATAAAAATAAATAGAGCTGTTGTCAAGCAGCCTCGTTCACATGGTAGCTCAGAAGAAGAACACTTCAAACAGGAAAGTGTCACTGACGTTGCGAAGTGATTATTTATATCTGGCCTGCGACCCCTCGCAAGTCCGGCGCGGTCAGAGGCTTCTCCACGCGCAGCTCGGCCTCGCGGGCGCTCACGCGGGGGGCGGACACGAGGCACCGGGTCTGAGTGTCGTGCACTCCCCCGGGTCGCACCACCTGGCCCGAACCAGTGCGTTCTTTGAAATGAAAAGTGAGGAGACCTTCAGGACACAGTGCACTTTAATGACAGACAGCATTTGAGCCCTTCAGACGCAGGTTTGAGAACAGTCTCTCAACGCAAGCTTGCATCTTCGAGCACAGAAAATCATTTTTTTTTATGCTTACATCACTGGAAAAAAATACCCATCGCTAAACCCTGACACACATTCTGAGCCGTTTTCCTCTCCTCTGTCACAGCGGGTGTTCGTGAGGCAAATGTGAGCCGGGACGTCAAGCTCTCCTGCGAAGGCGGGACATTCATGGGGTCATTCTGTTTCCGTCTCCTTTGGCGTGGCACCTGGGGGGAGTGGGGAGCAGAAGTTGCAAAGTCACCCTACAGCGGAGGCCTCTGTCCTGGCACTTCACTCCACTGCCTCCGCATACTGCTCCCACTGTCCTCCCTCTTACGGCTTACCCTTTTTCTTTTGGTACCAGGAATCGAACTCAGTACCTTGCACTTGCCAGGCAGGTGCTTTGCGACTGAGCTA